TTTCTGTGTCATAGATCCTCTAAATGAACAGCATATTATAATCATAGAAGAGAGCCATAACTGGCCAATATCTTTTAAAGTATTAATACAGTGTATAATTATATCCTTCTCCACATCTGCTTACATTCTTGAAAATGGTGGAATAGAAGAAGTTCTAACAATAACTGAAGCTGAAGCTCAACACAGCTCACCTCGCAAAGTGTCCTCATCAAAATCTGGTGCATTTTCTTTTTCAGGTAAGTCTTCATTTTCACATGGAACTTTAATTGGACTTCTTTCTGTAGCCAGAGCAACTGTAAGAAGACTGATGCTTCTTACAAAGGTGCTGCTTAAGTTATCCTGGCCTGAAAGAAAGTTGGTTGCAAATGGTAATAAACATCAGCTCAACATATTACCCAGTTGTAAAAAAAAAAATATTTTTTCCCTTCTGAGAATGGGAGGGATACATAGACAAAATCACAAGCAATTAATGTCATACTATAAAAGCAGCAAACGAACAAAGATATCTACTAAAATATGATTCAATATTTATAAAATACATTTTCAATTGACTGAAATAAATCGGGCAAGTGTTGCAAGGTCATATAATTTGTTACAACAGCAAATCAAATTATTTAAGAGGCTGTAGGTAGTCGGGTAAAGTCTGTATTTAAGCAGTGGCCCATCCAGGCCCTTAGCTTATAATACTGGTTTCCTCACACGAAGTGAGTGGGAGTAACTACACCCCTTGGATGGGATGCTAGTCCATCCCCTTTCCCCCTGGCATTTCATCAGGCTTACCTGGCTGATTTCTGCTACCCATTTAAAGGTAAACTTTACTCAGATACCAATCTTTCATTACCAGTTGATGAATTGGAATCCTAAAAATCAAAGGCAGTTAGTTGAAAGGACGCTTCCAATAAATCACTAGGTGACATTTGAAGAAAAGTCATCGTTTCTCAATATTTAACATGGAAATCAGTATAACAGTACAGTTAAAAGGGAGAATTTAAGCAGTCTATCAAAAAAGGAAAAACTTACTTTTAAACTGTATGAAATAATAAACATAAACACGTGAAATAAGCTGGAAATGTTTATAGGTTTTTGATCAAATGCATTGTAAATACGGGAGCACATCAAATTAATACTTATGTTAGCCTGACACGAAAGCTAGTGCAAAACACGATCATGATTGTGTGCATGACACGCAGACGAAACTGAAAGTGTTCCGATCATCAGCGCCTGCACAAAATCAAACCCATGACTTTAATATTCCTTTTAATTCTCCCGAATTACTTATTTTATCCAAGGCAAATGCCGGGTATTGCCTGCGAATTTTTGTGAATTCGACAGCTGTAACTTGTTCAAACAAGCTCAGCTTAATTAGCTCTTAAGTAACACGAAGCGGTAATACAATTTATACACCCCAGAATCAATTAAAAGTTAGCAATCCTCGTTAGTTAACTGCACGAACGTCTTTCATTGCCGGAAATCAGAGAAAATTAGGACAGTTTAAGAGTATTTGAGGGAGAAAAT